CCTGGTGAATGGGAAATCAGTAGGAAATCCTGATCCCAGCTCTCCCACATAATATGTAATTAAGCTCCTTCAGTGATTATCTGTTACCAGTATATGAACATGTCACTTAAAATTTTGTCATACACAGTGTCATAGCATAATATAATAGTTAATCTGGATACCATTTACTGTTAAATATTTGATAGATATCTCTGTCAATTTTAGAGTTTTTAGCTGTAATAGTACAGAGTGTTAGTTCCCACCATGCCATTTTCCTGGTCTAAAGCTACCCTCCAGAGGTTACTTTTGCTTCCCTCCCTTGCAAGACAAATAGCTTTTAATGTTTTAGTTTGGGAAAGTAACATAGGAGCAAAACTTACCTTTCCCCCCATACTACTTCTAATCCAATCTGGGGCTTCCAGTGCCCATTTTTAACTTTAAAAAGACCCCAGAAGAGGGCTTCCAGTGCCCATTTTTAACTTTAAAAAGACCCCAGAAGAGGGTATCCCTGATACATCTAGTTCAGCTCCAGGTTAGTTTGCTTCCTTATCTAGCTTGTATTGAACAATACTGTTCTGAACTTGTTCCTGTATGTGGTAGATGTCACCTTCCTGTCTCTCACAGTCTTGGACTTGGGTGTGTGGCTGTTCAGCTGTAATGTTTGAAAAGGGCATCTAGGCACTGAGCCATGAATGAAATCTCTAACTCTGGTAGGCCTAAATACTACTTACAACCTGGGAATCAATGGTGCTGTTCAGGTCTACCCAGGATGAATTTTATGTACATATGGACCATTCACTGGCAGGCCAGTAAACTAATATTTCTTTGACCTCTTTCTCAGCTGTACTTGGTGGTGTAATGGGGAAGTACTGTATGGGCAGAACAGTCCTCAGTTTATCACAGAATCAATACATGCTACCATCATGAGGACAGCAACAGGGGACTGACTGCTGCTTACCCACCAAAAATATTTGGGGGCCAGCTTCTGCTGCCCCAGCTCATCACAGAAAGGTATTCTATTACCCCAACAGACACAAAATCTAGGAATGTATGATGTGATACAAGTTTTTTTCATGGACACATTGAACTCCTAGTGCTATTAGCTATATTGTATTTAGACAGAGAGGACCTATACAGTTATCAGAGAAAAAAGCCTCTTGGATTACAAGTAAGCACTTTGATTTCCTCTGCTCTTTTAATTTTTTTTTTAAACTTGCTTTTCCAGGTTGAAACCAAGTGAGCACAAAATCTCCATTCCTTTAAAGGTCTCACCCTTCCAATATGCTTTTTTTCAACAACCTGTGACCTGGCATTTAGGCCTCTTAAATGTTAACTTTGCTGTCCCTTTTCAAAGAAACACACCGATGGCAAGATAGGATTATGAAGGGCTAATAAAATAGAACACTTTTTTTAAAAAAATAAAGAAATACCTCATTAATTACATGAGTGTTTGCAATACATAAAGGAAAGAGGCTTTCTCAAAAGAATGAGAGTGCTCTGTGATGGAAGGCTGATCTCTGAATAGCAGCATTTAAATGACCTTTTCAGTTTCCTAAATGAATTACCTCAGAAACTCTTGACATTTGCAGACTAAATAGCACAAGCAGAGTCTCATCAATAATAAGTCCTGCTATTATATCCATTATTGCTAGAGACAAATCTAATTGACCCACGACGTTGCAAATCACTTTCAATTTACTGCCAAAGTAACAAAGACTAAAGAAATCTACAGGAACAATAGTAACAGTCCAGCAGTGACCTTCAGGAAATATAGTGCTGCTTGTTTAAGGCTACAATCCTATGCATATTTACTTGAAATAAATGCCACTGAAGCCATAAGAATTTACTCTTGAGTAAAAATGCGTAGGATTGCACTGGAGCAGTAATAAAAGATATTTGCCCACTTGCATTTTATATTTGTATATTACTTTTTTCCTTTTAAAAGTTCAAAGTTGTTAACATATAACATACTCAGTATTGGATAAAGTTAGCATATGGCCAATACTGAAATCAAAGGCCTTCCTGGAAAAAAAAATGACTTGCACTTTTCCCTAAATAGTAAAAAAAAAAAGAATATATGGCCACCATTTCAATAGTGCAGTCTATTCTAGAAAGATCAGGCTGCCACAGAAAAAGCTCTTTATTGAGCTACAGCTGTCCCAATCTCTTTTCAATAAGGGAATCAAAGTCAAGCCCAGGGTGGGAGAGATCGTAAGACTATACAGGCTGACATAGGGAAGAGGCAGTTCTTCAATATGTGGATCCCGGGTCATAAAGGTCTAAGTCAAAGCTAGTACTCTGAAACAGAACTCAGAAGCAATACAGGGTTCTACTGGAAATAGGGAGAGGATGTACGTAAGGCCCCTAGGAGATTAATATTTCACTCTCCCACTAAAGCCTGGTTTCATGGAATTGTAGGGTGTTCCTGATGGTTTTTAAAAAATAATTGTTGCAGAAGAAAACCATTGATTTTGTTTTATGAACAATTAACTGTAGGTGAGGTATTTTAAGTTTGGCTTGGCTTGGATTCTCTGGTTGGATGTTGGTTCTGTTGGCATTGTGGTTCTGTTTGCATTGCAGGCTTTTGGCCAGTTGTTGCTCTTTGGCTTATTTGAATTTTTCCCCATAAGAAACAACAAAGATAAGGAGGAAGGCTGAGAACTCCTTGTTCAGGGGCCCATAAAACTGGACCCCTTGGTCCATGCACTTGAAACTTGGGTGGGGGTCTTTTGTGGACACACAGGACTAGGATTCCCTGCAGTGGCCACAGCAGCTTCACTAAATAAGTCCCCCACAAGGAATAATGGAATGTGAATAATTCCAGAATCCCAGAAAAAAGCAGAATTTGAAACAATACTGGGGGACCGAAATGCCACTATTTATGTCCTTCCTTAAATCCAAATCTGAAAAAATAGCATTTTTAGGTGCACATCTTCACCTACATCCTCTGGATGGACTGCTTCCCACACTACTTATCTCCTCTGCCCAAGGAGAACCAAAATACCACCATGATCTACATTACCTCCCCCCCAACACCTATCACCCTCAGACCCCACAAGACAGCCCAGTTAATTCTCCTCAACCAGCAGGAGTCCACTCCATTTATTCCTTCTGGAACGTAACACACTTTCCATCCATCTATTAGAATTAAAACCTAAAATTGATTAGAATTAAAACCTATATTTAGAGAAAACACATGAGCAGGAAGCAAACGTATCCTTAGGATGTGTACACTGCATTGAAAATCAGAAAAACAATGTACTTTTTGGTGCAGAGTACACCATTATTTAATTTTGGCATTAACTCAAAGACAAGCATATTTAAAGTTCACAAGGTAGCTAAAGTTACTTTTCATTTGCTTCACCAAATATAACAAATGCATACTCCTCTTTGAAATAATCAAGCATTTATTAACAAGACAGACAAACTGTACTTACGCTGTCCCCACTGGCCACTACTAGGATTTAAGTAGTTCGGATAAAGCCCTTCTGGCTTATCCAGCTGATTTAAAACTTTTCGAATGTTCATCACCTATAGCAAAACACATCCAATCTTTGTTGAAAATATTTAATTATGAAAGCAAGACTTAAAGAAAGCAAGACTTAAAGAAAAATTGCAGATATCTTTTGAGGGGAGGGGAGTTATTTTGATGTTTTAGTCTGTTGCTTTTAAATTGTATTTTTTAAAAATTAGGATACATAAACCACCTTGAGCCATGAAAAAAGACAGGATATAAACATTTTAATAAAATATTTTCCCCCACACTGACTTTTAAGAGACTACCACTCTACACTAGGATGGACACTACCCAAAACACTCTTATAGTGTCTATGGCCCCTTCCTATAAAGTTTGTTTTTCATAAGACAGAGTTTGAATTTTATCTATCATAACTATAGGTGGTAAAAATATATGGCTATATATATTAATGCCCAAGATCCTGTGCTTTCAGGTGTACATGATATATTATGGAAATAAAATGAATCTGCTAAACACTTGCACAAGATATTTTGTGGGTATTGTTCTGCAAACAGAAGACACTATTGAGTTGCAGCAGCTACAATGGAAGCATAACATGTGTGGGACAGGGCCAATAACTGTGACTGTTACCAGATGGATACAACAGTTCAATGTAGATGAGATCGACTTTAAATTTTGTCACTAGGTTGCACTTGTACTATACACAATGAAAATTTATTTACACTTGTAGTGGAAGTGTGGTGCTTGGACTAGAGGGGGAAGAAGCTGAAGAGCCATTTCTAGGCAAGGTATCTGCCTCCCACCAAAGCCCTGGCTCACCTTTTCACTGTGGGTGACAACTAGGGACATGGCATTTTTAGTGGTGACACCTTGCCCTTGGAATGTCCCCTCCTACTGAAGGTCATCTTGAACACACCATGCTGTCTTTGTGATGCTAAGCCAAAATATTTCTTATTTACTCAGGTTTTTATTTTTTTAGCTGCTTCATGGATATTTTTAGCATGTTCAATGTTCCTTTTAAGTTGTTTTTATGTCAGTAGCTTGTTCTGTTTTTATATTGACTTTGTGTTGGGGGGAAGGGGGATAAAAATACGCTAAAACATAAAAATAGATGCACAGATCAGTTGTTTAGCTCAACTGGAAGAGATGCAGCTTATAGCCTGAATTTAAACTGTGTGCTCACTCAGCAAAAGAAAAGCAGTGGCACTCAGCCAAAATTAAACAAACACTGGGCAAATGATTTACAAAGTAGTCCGGCAAAAAACAGCAACAGAAAACTCCCTAACATAACTAAAACTGAACTTGCATCTGGCTCACTGGGAGACCTGTAAATCTATTCCTTGGATCGAGTTGGCAGGACACATGCTCTTTGTATGGGGGCATAAGCTGTATTGGCAGCAGCCCACTGCTGTTGAGCAAATACAGGATACATATCCAGCTCCCCACACAAGAAGCTTCACAGGTTTTAAAGTCTCTGCCCCTTAAGTGAAATCAGGGCGCATTTTGAATGTTGGATGTGTAGGGAGCTAATCATGAGACTTGAACTGTATTTGGGAGACTGAGGGCAGAAGGGTTGTTTTTTTAAAAAAAACTTCATTAAACAAAAGGCTGCTGGGTTGTGGCTTATACACCAGAGAGCCTGTTCTGAGAGTATAAGAAGATGAAGGAAATGTGTGCAGGGGCCCAGGAAGGTCAAGACCCCCCCAGTAGTTATCATAATGAATCCATGGCATCCATGCACACGGTTCATGGCAAAGTAAATGAAGTCTCTATCATATGGTTATCCTTTATACAAATATACATATAAGCAATTAAGAATAGTGCTAGGAAATCACTTGTACTTTGCAAGTTATATTTTGAGAGGATCAAAGCAAGTTAAAATTAACAGAAACTGGCAATATTTCAAGCACTCTGCAATCACTTGTCACATTTCCAAAAGTGTCTTGGTAAGTGTTTCATGAAAAGCTTAAGTTTTGAATCTAACCTTTTCAGCAAATACTGGATTTCCAGATAAATAGCTTAGATGCATGAACTCCAAATGCAGAGTTCCAAATTCTGCCAAAATACTGCTTCCTCCTGAAGCCCAGGGCCAGTTTCGACCAATGCCACTGAAAATGAAGAAAAATAAAATGAGATTATGAGGCATAAAACGATTCCGACATCATGAACTGTGAAACAGCTTGATAAGAAAATAATAATTTCCCCAAAAACTAGTCAGCCTACACTAGGAGGAAGACAATCAGGTATTGTTGTCTAATTAAGATAGTCCAGTGGTCACTGGCTTCCATTCCCTAATAATGCTGATAAATAAACAGACACAATGGCACTAGCTAAGAGTAGGCCTAGTTCAAAATCTTCACAGTTGCATCACAAAATTGTTTTCCCATGGCCAGTGATATAGCCATTAGTGAAATACTGTCACTTAAATGGAACTGTTAAATAGTCAATGACAACCATCTTATTTGTGGCTGAAACAAAGCAAGACAACATTTAGAATGCTATAAATTCAAATTATGAAGTTTCAGTTAAAATGTGAAGATACCTGATTGCATTTTTAATTCAGTCAATCTAGTTTATCACCTTGCAAGTATCTGAAGATTTTCTTTACAGTATTCTGACTAAGTTGTCTACAGGTGTGTTTTCTGACAATATAATATGCAGATTAATTAGAAATGGTAGAAATGGGTGGATTCAGCATCCTGTGGGGCTTACAGTATATGTCCATACTCTGTAACATTTGTCCATGTGTTGACAGAAGTGAACATGTCTGTTGCTTTAAGGCCCCGGTCACACGGGCAGGAAACTGCAGAGGAGAAGCGTGGCTGTTTGCCCTGGGGCAAACCACTGCGCAGTTACGTGATCAGACCTCCTGTGGAGGTACCGTGGAGGTACCGTGGAAGTTCCATGGCAAGGGAGAGGTGCCGATCACAGGACAAGCCGGCGCGCAACGAAGAAGCGCGCGCCGCGGCAAACTGTTTTTTATTTTTGTGTACATGACAAATGCGCATGCTCCGTTGGGTGCGCATGCGCATCCACAGAGACTTGGACAAAAAAAACCCACCTTATTTGCAAGGGGACATGGGTGGGCGCCGGATGCCTCCGGAAACGCGATCAGACGCCCGCCCTTGCCCCGCAGTTTCCGGAAACTAGTACCTCCAAGGTACTAGTTTTTTGCCACGCAGTTTCGTCTGGAAGCCTCGGTTGAGCCACGGAAGTGCTACGCTTCCCAGATGTGCTGGTGAGATCGCGCCCGGAAACTCCGGCTGTTTTCCGTCTCACTTGTGTGGCTTCTGTTACGTGTGACCGCAGCCAAAGAATACTTTTTCCTTAAGAGCCTCGATTACTACTGAAGTCTACCAACCAAATTGTCTTCTGTAAACTGTTGTTTTTATTATAAATTTCACCTGGACTGCCTTCTAGTTGTGGAAGTTAACCCTGGTTCTTCAACCCCAGAAGCACCACATCTCCTACTTCAAGTTGTGCACATAATTTTTTAATATAAATATTTTGTTTGTGTTTATTGGTCAATCTTCATTGATTTTCACATGCTCCTTTGTTATTTCGTGTTTTACTCAGGGGGGAAATACACACACACCTCTGAACAAAAAACAGCAGTGTGCTGCTTTTAGGCATTTCATTAATTGAACAACATTGATTTTGGAAGAATATAGCTGATCTGTGTGGGAAAAATAGCTGACTGAAAAAACACAGATGAGAGGTTTAGAAAGAACCTGCCATTTGATTGGGAATTATGAGGAGTATGTTTCAAACATACGGTGTGGAAAAGTACAGTTCCATTTAAAATATCAGTATTTCTAACCTTTTGTTTGTAAATGTAATACATTCAGCAGGGAGAGGAGGCAAACAATTACACAGTTTTCCCCTATAGTTCAATAGCATGAGCTCCAACTCTAGATGAGCAGCCCACCTATTTTTTAAATTTATTAAAACCTTTATATCCCACCTTACCTTAGGGTTCAAGGTGACTTACAATAATAAACACTTTCAATTTAAAACACAAAAAAGTAACCCCCCCAAATCTCCCTCCATTAAAAGAGGCCTGCCAATTCAGACCCGCTCAAAGTTCCTGGCAACCAGGTGGGCCTTGTAGCACCTCCTGAAGATCTCCAAGGAGGGGGTCCTCCTTCGCCTCTTCAGGGAGCCCATTCCACAGAGCCAGAACCACAAAGGAAAAGGTCTGGACTCTGATCAATGCCAGATGGGCCATCCTCAGTGGTGGGACAGCCAACAGACATCTTGCCTAATTATTGTAGTGGGGACATATGGAAGGAGACAGTCCTTCAAATATGGACCTAAGCAAGACTTTCAGCAATCGAGTGCTACAGCACTATTACCAAGTTTGCTGAGTTCCAATCCTAACTAAACCCAGTACTAAGCCTTCTAGCTATAAAATCATCACCACTTTCAGAAGCTTATATAATCCCAAATGAAAATATATGCATCTATGTGAATGTGTGCATAGGTAATAGGGGTCAGAGCATGTACATCTCTTGACCTTAAGCTCCTCCTCCAGGAAGACTATACGTGATGTCCTCAAGGCAAATGAGCATGTTCATTTCTACCTTTAAAATGGGATGCCCACCTCAAATATATGAATGGGATGCACAGCTAATTATGTTCATGGCTTGTTTGTTCACAGTAGTGAAACTTCCCCCCCTCCAGCAAGTCACAGCTGATTTATGGCGACCACATGGGTTTTCAAGGCAGGAGACATTCAGAGGTGGTTTGCCATTGCCTGCCTCTGCATAACAACCCTGGATTTACTTGGTGCTCTCCCATCTAAATACTAACAAGGGCTAACCCTGCTTTGCTTCCAAGATCTGATGAGACTGGGCTAGCTGGGTCTATCCAGGTCAGGGCACTGAAAACATTTCATGGCTGTAATTGATACACAAAAGCCATTTCCTTTCTTCAAGGTGTTTGCCAATCATTTTCAGAATGAAGAGTTATATAAGAATGAAATTTCTCTTAAGAATTCTAACCTACAATATAGGTGTATTATTTGGCAAAGAGGGATTTTTTGGAACAAAGGGTGAACTGTTAGAGGAAACCCTTTGCCTTCAGTGAAACGTAAGTGAGACAAATTGCAAAGACAAAGCAGGTTTTAGAATGCTGCTTGGGACAGACAGTCAGAGGTTATGAGTTAATCTTCCCTGGAGAGAAGAGCTTATGTGATTGGCTGCTATACTCACTCTCTGACTGGCCAGCATCAACTTAGAGGGAAAAAAATGAAAAAGATGTGGAGTGAAAAGATTCATTCACCTTTTGAGTCACTTTTGGTCTTTGTCTGAAATCTAATGTCTGATTAGTAGCTAGAGGGTTTGGCTTCTGAGGGAAGAGACTCTAGAAGTCAGTGATTTCTGTCAGAGAATTGCCAGAAAAGTACTTCTATAGAGAGAAGAGGAGGAACTCCATTGTCTAAGATATATTAAAACAACTCTGAAGAAGTCAGATTTGTAGTCAAGAAAGCTACAACACTGCTTTATATGGACATATTGTACTGGAAGAGGAATTTGGTAGGAGGTCTGAGGAGTCAGAGGGAACTCCCAGAAAAGCCAAACAGGAAAAGGAGTTATTTCTTCTTCAGGACAGGAAGAATAATTTCTAGCCAGTAGGAAGGGGCTGGGAAGAAAACCCTCATATGTGATAAAGGGGAAGAGCTTAGACACCTCAAGAGTTAATGGAAAGCTATAATATCTAAAGGGAAATCCTAGATCCCTGAAGGGAGAAACCTAGAAGCACCAAGACAAAGCTATCCTCTAAAACACTGTATTTAAGATTCTGTGTAACACCTGAAATATATAGTAAGCAAAAAACTCTCACTGAAAATAATTTGAAACTCAGAAATTAAAGCTACAGCAACACTCTTGTTTGTTCAAAAACTTCAATTCTGTATATATATTTGAAAGTTTTACCTCAACAACCTCTATATCATGAATCTTTATAGTTATCTATTCCCTGTCTGTTTATTAAAATCTTTATTCTGTTTTGAATGTTAATTTTGCCTCATGTGCCATTTCATGAGGGTATTTTAAAATAAGACAGCTCCTTTATTCCCTCTAGTTCCTGTACTGGGTCATAAGCCTAAACTAATATCTGTGACAGGTTGGGATAGGTGAAACTTATAAAACAGAGAAGAAATACACACTACTGAAGGGTGGCTCAGTCACTGAGGGGAACTAAAATATTTTTGGTGAAAAAATCTGCCTGGGGGAAGGGGAAGCATCAGGGGTTTGTCATAGTAAGCTTATTCTAGTGAGTGAGAAACAGTAAAAGCTTTCTGCAGGGAGGTTAGACAGTATATAGTATTACCATTGTCACATTAAATTATGGCTACAAACTTTCAAAACAGAAAGCAACCAAGATTTTCCAATTCAGTAAGTCCAAAACAATGGTATAGACTAGAACATGCATTTTGTATTTCTATTACTGCTAAGGAAAGGAATCTATGAGAAGCACTGAATACAGCGTGCACTAAGTGAACCTGGACAAAATATCTAAGATTTCTGCAGTAACCCTGAAATATTCTTATTGGGTAGGAAACAAAGAAATGTGAGAAGTCTTCTTGCAGAATGGATCCTTCTCACCTCCTACCAATATGCTACGGGCCCTCCTACCATCAAGCATTAACTGTCAGGGGACCCACAGTAACAGTGTAGGCTGCAGTATGCGTGGACCCAAGTGCCTTCTGTTCTCACAAGGGCAATTTGAAGGTGCACACACTAGCACGAAGATTAGAAGGACCAGGATATTTAATTATGTGTATTTTCACTAATTTATGTGATTCAGTACTGCTTCTGAACTGAATGAGGAGATGCCAATATGGCAAACTGCTTAGGTGAGAATGTAAAGAAAAAATGGCTACATTTCACATTTGGAATTCATTTTGTCACATCATGAAGATACAGTTCTTTCAAAACCTCAGATCTCTCTTTAGGAATATTATGGAATAAAGATAGCAAAGCCAACTGTCAAAGTCCCACAAGAGACTAAGACTGAGATTTGAATTTTTCCTGTCGGAGGGAATTCAGATACATGGTAGCAAAGTTCAGTTTCTGCTACAAATTAGAATGCACTGTTACCAAAG